ACACCACACCAACAAATCCACTATGAAAATGGGGAGAAATAAGTACAAGCTCTCGATCTCTCCTTGCTTCTCTTCCTTTATACCGTTCTCCTATACTAAACACAAGAGCAAAGTCAAGTTAATAACACCAAGGGACGCCACCCTTCAGAAAAATGAGAAAAAAAAGTTGTATGGTCCACCTCGTAGCGCTACAACACTAGTTTGGAGTGCTGCAACGCTCAAGTCTCTATCATCATGATGTTGCGGTGTCACACTCCATGATCTATATTGAAAGAATTACACATGTCTTTCATTTTAATCATTTAATTAGAGCTTATCAATGAACAACGGAAAGAAACATGATTGCATTTTTTTCTTGATCGGAGCCTTATATCATAGGATCTTTATCATTTCCTAAAAATATGTAAAATCACGTAATGAACACGTAGCCCAACAAGTAACTAAAATCTTATAACTGAAATCAATGCAAGCTAAAAGAAAATAATATGCTATAAATCATATAAAGAAAAATATATGCATCAATATCTATACTGATTATCTGCATCAATTTATCCTTCTATAGTTCATCATATCTCAATCCATTACATCATCAGTTACAGTAGCAATAACAGTAACAGTCAATAGTACTAATGCCAGTAACAATATTAATATCATGATTAATAACGTTAAATAGTATTCATTATAGTAAACCGTATTAGTGTAAGTTACAATATCAATACAATATTCGTAGCAGTGTTAGTATCAATATTCGAATATTCAATGAGTGTATCTTAAGGGTATCTTGCTCCTGCACTTATAACTCCCAAGTAGTCGCCCCGACTCTTTATAACTCTCGATCAATTTTCAACTTCTTATGACTCGCAATCAGTGAATTACGTGGATCAATAGAATATCTTGTGGAGTTATCATATCATGTATCTGATATCATTCAGTACTTCATTTAAAATGCAATAAAATCATATCAAATCCAAATTTGCATGATGAAGGCTTATAAAATCAGGAGATAATATATTTTTGACAGATTTAGGAGAGATAAAATTATTGAAATTAGAAGTAAGAGATTAGTCACTTACAATGAATATAACAAAATTTGTAATAGGAATGACTGAGAAATAAATTCCAAAGACTTTTCTCTCTCCTCTCTCTTCTTTCCCTCTTTCAATTTCTTCCTGGCCAAACAATCAAGTGAGGGAGTTGGTGGGTTGAGGTAATGGTGATTGTGTGTATATCTATGTTGCACCGATACACCTATTTAAGAAGGCGTGATGTATCCGATACACCGATACACGGATACACCTCCGATACTCCACCGATACGTGTCGGATACGCCAAAGCCGTATCCAATTAAAATACTATTTAGTTTCAAAAGGACACGCGTATCCGATACGCGTGTCCGTTAAAAAACAAAAAGAATTAAAAAAAAAGACGTGTCGTATTTACTTCAGCGGTTGCGAGCAAGATTCTCTCCTTTTCACGATGGATTTGAGTCTCTTGATGATATGAAAATATTAAAATTTACTAATCTTTCACTTGATGAGCCTGAATTAGAAGCTATGATATGTATTGAAGAAGTTCAAAGACAAACCAATGAAGAAGATAATTATATAATTCCCTCTATTGAATAGTTGAAACTTCAAGTGCTAGATAATTTATGTTTATGCTTTTGTTGTTGTACTAGACATTTAATGCTTGCTTATATTTTGCTATTATAAGCTACAAGGCTACAAATGATGTTGTTGTCTTTTTTTTTTTTGTAATTTCAAATATTATGCTTTGTTTGCTTTCTTAATTTTTATGTATGATTTATAAATTATAATGCCGTGTCCGAGCCGTACCCGTATCCTGTATTTTTAAGAATTGACGTGTCCCGTATCCGTATCGTGTCGCCGTATCCGTATCGGTGCAACATAGGTGTGTATATATATATATATATTTCATGGTCTAGCATCGTAGTGCTTACCAGAACACCGCCAAAATGCTCTATTTCAGAATTTTCATATTTTTGAAATAAATTAATTCACATATCTAAGTTATTACATGTGGCGCCGAATCTAGAACGCTATGGTGCTTTACTCATGCCGTTTCACCTAGTATGTAATGATAAATAAATTTTATGTACACTAGCGACATGTTACTTCATTTCAAACAAATCTTGGATACATATAGGAATCAATGACCAGGTTGTGATAGATTATTTTCTTACATAGACTGCACTATCAAATCTAATTTTATTCAAATAAACCTTTCAATTTGTTATTGTTAATAATTGGCCAACCCTTCAACACACATTTTATCTTTGCCTTTGGAAGCTCAAAGAAAATCATTATAGAAAGCATTTCATCATATGCATAAACTTGAGCAATGGCATACTCATATACTATTTCATGACTTGCAAAGTCAATTTGGTTACTCGTTTTGGTCCTTTTAGCAACAGCATCATTTTATATATCACTTAAATACCACTTGAGGGACTATTCATTACTTTATAGCCGTCTTCAAAATAATTAAAATTAGCCTCTAATGTTGGTACACGCTCAATAGAGACTAAAGTCTTACTCATATAGGAATGTGGTAGTGGATGACAAACGAGAGATTCTAATCCGTGAAGCAACATTCCTAAGGGATATTGTTGTGCTAAGCTAGTTGCACCTTACATATCCATCAAAAAAGTGTAGGCCTATTGAAGGATAAAATGAAGTAATTCGAACTTTTTGCGCACCAAAATATAAATTAAATATATTATTTGATTGATATGCTAACTGATAAATCTTTGTTCTTTATATGTATGGTTTGAGAGGAAATGCATTCTATGATGTAATCATTGGAGTGAATTGCCTTAGCTTCCACATACATAAGAATGTGTGTTGATTCACCTCTGCTAATACTACTTCTCATGTTCCATCATCTGAATATGGGTTGCAAAATAATCACAACTTACAGGATAACAATACAATCCGTTAACCGCAATGCTCAAAGAACTCTTTGTTAAAGGACTTCTAGCATATTGAGTTGTGGGATTTATATGGGATAAATTTTGCTGCCAACATAGGATGTGTGAACTTCTCTTATAATCTCTGCTATTGATCAAAGACAAGAATAAAATATTCATTCCAAATAACTTTCTTATTTGAAATATCAGATATGAAATTTATAATTTGATTGTACATGTCTCAACTAGCCTCTTATGTAAGAATAAAAGATTTATTATGATAAACGTAATGAGGTATTGTTGCATGCTAGAAAATTTGAGTCTGTAAAGTATTTGTTTCACGTCTTAGTAGTGTATAAAGATTTAACATGTATAAATGGAAGTAGTAGGACTAGAGGATTTTTTATTTGGAAAACCTGGAAAGGGAAAAAATCATGAGACTTGGCCCAATTGTAAAATCCACTATATTGCAAGTGATACAAAGATCCTCCCTTTTTCACCGTTGAAGAAGAGGGAGTATATAAATATTAGGCGTCCATAGAGGGACAATCTATACCCAACAATAGGGCTTAATTTTCTCAATAGGGATAATAGAAATAGATGTTTAAAGGTGGACAAATAAACCCAATAGTTGGGTCAAATATTATTAGTATTCTGGAGATGGTGGCGATTTCTGATGCCGGTCGTCGGAGACGATAGCTGGTGGTGAGCATCGACGGTGATTGATGAAAAATGCAAGAGAGTTCTCTTTCTCCTCCTTCCCCCCACCCTCATCTGAAGAATGAATTCCTATTTATATGTTTTTGGGAGTGGCATGCTCTATAAATATAGAAAAAATGTAGGGCAAAGTCAGAGTGCTTCATCAAATGGTCCGTATTGATTCCTTCGATCATAGAGTTATTGTAAAGCATTTAAATGCCTTAATGTTGTCAGAATTAAGTGATCTTGGGCTCGTTGGATTCGTCTTCTCGAGACGCTCGATTCGACTTTAAGCATGTTATATTTGGAGATTATTTGATTACTCAATTAATACTTCAAAGCTTCCAAACATGTTACAATCCCTTAGTTCGAGCCCATTTGGACTCGGATTGGGCCGATTTAGTTGTCATTAGGTTCGTCTTGTCGAGACGTTTAGTTTGACTTTAAGGTTGCTAAGATTGGAGTTTGAATGATCTCAAATTTAATTTGAAAGTTTTCAGTTCAAATATGCCTCGAGATTAGTGCCAGATCAAGGTAATTTTTGGTGATGTATCAGGTATGAATATGATATTAAAATTTTAAATTAATAATATTCATTTCTTTACCCATTTTGTTGTGTATAATTAATTACATGATATAGATTATTTATTAATTTTAAAACATAATTTAATAATTTATTTTTTTCAATTGAACGAAGATTATCATTTTCTAATTATGCATTCAAAATAAATGATAAATAATTGTCAAATAAAACTAACATATCTTATGCATACCTATAATTGGAAATCATAGAGTACATTGATGTTAAACAACCCTTGTAAATAATACTAACAAAACACAACAATAAAATATACCCTGTGATCAACAACTATGAACTTCAGAACTTGTATTCATAGATGAATTTGAGAGATACTTGAAGAGAGTGTAAGATAAAGAATTTAAGATTGGAGAGAGTAAAAATTGATTTTTGGGAGTGAGTTTAGTCAAAGAGTTGGGTGACTGAGAGAGGTGAGAGAGGGAGTTTATGTTGTGTAGGAATAAAGCCTAACATGTTCATAGTGGAAACCATAGCCACAAATATAGGAAGTATTCATCAATTTGGCGAACCTATATAAATGTTCTAGTTTTTTTGTGTGTTTATTTGCTCTCCATTTTGAATTAGGTGGCGAAACTTTTCCCAACACTAGTTGCCTGATGACTTCGCAACTATGGTGTCATGTAGACACCATGCAGCCTACGAAACACCGCGCAATTTTTCTTTTTGAAACATTTTAAAGATATTCTTCTACATAAAAGTGGTTACCTATATGATCCTTCCATAAATTTGTTATTGTTTTTAGCACGTACCCTTAATACGCTTTAACTGAAACAGTGCAACGCCTGGTGGTATTCTGGACAAAGCAATTGAAGCTGAGGATAGGAAACATGGAGATTTTCTGAGGCTGGTAGATTCCTTTTCTTCTATGAATCATGAAATTTGATTCAATAGCCTATGAATACTACACACTTAGGGTTGCATATGTTCGTTTTAGATCATACTGTCTTTGCATTTTCACTTCCATAATTTTTTATTTTCTGAATAATAACAATTATTTAAACCCCCCAAACCAAAATCCAAATGGAAAAAACAAACCTTCACTTCCTCCAATTCAAATGAGCTATCATTTTTACTCATATGGATCACAATAACTGATTGCAGGATCATGTTGAGGGGTATCTTGAGCTGTCTGGGAAGACAAAAGCATATTTTTCCACTGCTGTCAGTATATGGGATGCAGAATTTTACGTGAAGGTTGATGATGACATACATGTAAATATAGGTATCATTGAACGTTTACCATATGAAATCAAACTTATGCCTTGATACTGTTATCTGCTAATTGTGAATTCTTAAAGATCGATTCATTTGTGTGTAAAGAATGTATTTTATTAGTTTATTCAGCTTCCTAATCTTCCTTGAACTGAGGCCTGCAATCACGGGTTGCTTTATGACAGACATGAATTATATCAACAAATGTCCACTACTAAAAAATAAGATTTTTCGCAGCAGTTGGTAAGAGCGGTTTTAAAACCGCTGCCAAAACACTGTTATAGCATCAATTTTAACCGCTACAATTTGCAGTGTTTAAAACCGGTGCAATTCCAAGCGGTTTTAACCACAGCCATTTCGAATCCCAAATTCCCAAATTTAATCCGCTATAGCTTGCGACTTTTCATCTTCCCTCTTTCCTCTTCTTGCGTGTGTGCGACAATGTCCGACTCAAGCTATAGCTCGCGATAGGAGCGAACCACCGAGCTGCTGTCTTAGGAGCACACAGGCCTTGGCGCTTCTCCTTACGCGAAGACCCATCCCAGTTGAACCTTCTTCGGTGTGAGTCGGTTATAGTTTTGATTTTGGTGGCGGTTATAACCGATGCAAATTTGGAACTTAGCATCGATTATAACCACTGCTAAAACTAGCATATTCTTTAATCTACCTTACCGGTCCTGAAACTGCTATGGAATGTCGTTGCAGCGCATTGCAATCACAACGGGGATGTAGCGGTTTTAGATCCCCTGTAAAGTAAAATGTAGCGGTTATAACCGCCGGGAAAAGTAAAAAATTGTACAGCCCTATTTTTTGGTAGTGGTATGTTGTAAGGATTGATTCTCATTTTCTGTTCACTGTCATGACTTCTGGGACCTTACCTCAATTTCTTGGGGTTTTTAGCTGGTCATCTCATCTTTCAGGGTTCTATTAACTCAACCTTCTTCATCTCGCCATCCCTTATTTCTATAGAATTTGGAGTCATACAATTCAAATGTTATTTGTACGTATTGTGAAAAACATTATCGAACTCTACTTTGCCTAAGATGTTGACAGATTTTAAATAATGCTAAGCTTAGCACAGAATATTTTACCACATGTTTGGGATATTTGCTGCATATTCTTCATCGATGATCTTCTTGCACAATAAATCAGATTTTCTAAATTGTTTCAGCAACTCTTGGGGCAACTCTTTCGAAGCACAGATCAAAGCATGGGGTATACATTGGATGCATGAAGTCTGGACCTGTCTTGGCTCAGCAGTGAGCATCAAATTAGTATGTTTGGCCTTCTGCATTTTGTTCTGTGTTTGACATCCACACTTGATTTGTGTTGCAGTGGAGTGAGATATCATGAGCCGGAGTACTGGAAATTTGGGGAATATGGAAACAAGTATTTTCGACATGCAACTGGTCAATTATACGCCATTTCAAGAGACTTGGCTACTTACATATCAATAAACCAGTAAGCATGCCAGTGTTTTTTTTCGTATGGTTAATCACTTCTAATCCACAATTTAAGAAAATATTTGATGCGGAGCATTTTAGCTTAAAATATTTCTTAGGTTATTTTATTTAGTTTATTACAAGTTTTCTAGAATCTTCTAGGATTCTCTAGGTTTTCTCTATTTGAGTATTATATATATGGAATGAGTAAGAGGAATGGGACAAATTGATGAATATTATCTCTTTTTGAAGCTTAGTGCTTGTCCTTGTTTCTTGGATTGGGATTTCCTTCTTGCATCCTCTTTTTCTAACGATCCAACTAGAACTCCCCACATCAATGTTTTTTTATTGTAGCTGGTGATATGGCCAAGGCAACCATCTTAATGTGAAAATGCATGATTTGATCAGTTCTATATTTTTTTTCCTACCAGTAAAAGTTTACACATGGAAACTGCTCAGCAGAAATAAAGCTTTTTATCCAATCACAATTTTATTTCCTCACGCTGGTTTGAGAGGCAAAGCTCAAATTCAGTAATGCTTGTGTGTGTTATTAAAGTGTTAGGAGATACACATATTGAACTTATTTCTCATGATCCCAGGCATGTACTTCACAAGTATGCAAATGAGGATGTCTCATTGGGAGCTTGGTTTATTGGCTTGGATGTGGAACATATTGATGATCGCAGACTATGTTGTGGCACCCCACCTGGTTTGTTTTGAACTTTTCATCTATAACAATTAGGCTTCGTTTGGGACGGCTTTCTTACTGCTTCTTAAAGCAATTTTCTAGTATAAAATTTTTAATTTTTATACTAAAAAGTTATTTTGAGAAGCAATAAAAAAACCGTTCCAAATGAAACCATTCTGATGTGTTGCTTTTTCCATGAAGGAACTATAGTAAAGCTAATGTGCTGTTTCATTGCTATGCTTATAGACTGTGAGTGGAAGGCTCAGGCCGGCAACATCTGTGTTGCCTCATTCGACTGGACTTGCAGTGGCATCTGCAGGTCAGCTGAAAGGATGAAAGAGGTTCATCGCCGATGCAGTGAAGGCGAGAATGTTCTTTGGAAAGCTTCTTTTTAGTCAAATGGCTGCAGGTTTGTATCATCACAAGGATGCGTCAATCAATGTATGTAATTGCGTAAGCTAATGCTTCGGAGGGACCTTGTATCTATTTTAGGAGAGGTCTCTTAGAACAGAAGGGTGAGGCTAGAGTTGTTCAGCCCTTGCATTCTTTAGAACAGTGGATGGCCCTTTTTTTCACTTTATGTTGGCCACCAGCATGCAATAATCATAGCGATTCATTTCATAAAATGGTCTTTTGCTGCCCTTTTATCTGCGTGAGTTAAGCAGAACATGCTATCAACAACTTAAAAACCAATTTTAGGAAGAAGAAAACTACCTTGTGATAAAAAACCAAAGAAACACTGAAAAAAGAAAATAGCAAGGCTATCAAATTTTCTCATCTATTCGAGATGCATGTAATTTCAGTTGTGATCATACCATGCCAATGTATAGATATCAATGCATACAAATAATTAGTCAATGACTTCAAATTCTTGAGATATGAATCAATATGATATAATCGATAGGGCACAAAGTTTTTTGTTAGCTAAGGTGGATTTAGATTTGTCGTCTTAGACAAATACTCATCCTAGGTCTAAAAAGTACTCTTAGACAAAGCAACCTATGACCGCCGATAAGGATCCTCCTATCAGGTTTGGGTCGACTACCTCCTCTAATTAAGTAGACTAGGGACCATGATGACACAGGATGACGGAACCATGGGATCTTGATCGAATCCATCATCCATTCCCCCACCATCCACTTTAAGTGCAAGATGGTGAAATTCTCAATTTTAAATATTGAATTTTCAACAACTAAATCCATGCTGCTACTATACACTAGAAAACACATATCTCTACATATCTGTTTGACGACTAGCCTTAATTGAAATTTCTCTCTTGAGATCGAGAGGGATAATTAATTGTAGGAGTTTGCGCCTATAGGAAACCAGAACTCATATCATAAAGTCCTCGCAAATTGAGTGTGAAATCTTTGGGTAGCGTTTTATATCAGACCCAATCTACCTTATGAAAATTTACCTCGGAACTTAATTAGCTAAAACTATCCTGAAAGAGGGGAGGCTGGGGCTCAATTTTTGGAGCCCATGGTTTGTTAAGTATTCCTTGAAACAACTCTTGATTTGGAATATTATTAGCCTTCATGAGAGGAGTCTCAACCATTGATGCCTAAGAGTCACGATCAATTCAAAGGAGTAAGAAGATAAAATTAACTAATCCTCAAATAATAAAACCTCTAAGATACAATCATTGCTGATTTGTGTCACACCCTAACCCGATCAGGATAGATCCCATCATGTTGAGTTGTGACAGACAATTCCCAATATTTAGTTTTGGAATGTTTATAGTCTCCTCCAATGTTCATTTTAAATAAAAACATAAATAACAAGCTACAAAAATATCCGAATACTGAAAATGAACTCATCCACAATGGTTTTTTCATTTCATCAAAATAAATATCTACGCTCCAGTACATGGCTACAGGAAAGACTACAAAACTGAAAATTAAATTAGTCATGACTCTGCAAAAATTAAAATAGCAAAATATCTATCAACTCAAATCTGATAATGAAGTATTAATCAACGATCTCTTTTCATTTCCTAGATCTCGGAGACTACAAGCAAACCACAGTGAGTTAAAATAGCTCAGCAGATCACACAAGACAATCTAAATTTTCAAATTCCCTAGTATTAAACATTTTGCAGAATATTTAAAAATAGTTAAATAAATCATTGATTATACTTATAAACGAAATAAAAACAAAGAAATTATTCAATTTATATCACATAAATGCTGAACACATAAATCATAAATCAATTATATTACATATTGTGGCCTCAGACATAATTTCAAAGGATTCTAATCCCTTATGTCTCTCTTTTGTGCTTATGACATCGGATCTTGTTCATAGGCACTAGAGCATGACTTTATAACCACCAGAACATGCCTTCGTAGCAACAAGAATATGTCTTATAGGCACTAGAATAATTCCCAACACAAATAAAATCTCATAGGTTTCTGACCTCTTATACTCCGAGTTGATGTTTTTCAATCATATAAGCATACATTTCATTACATAAGCATATATTTGATCACATTGTAACGGTTAAAACAAAATTTAACACATGTCAAAATTTCATAGTATTGTATGACGGTATGCATCTGAACTTCTTATTGAGTAAATTTTCGCAATATCAAAATATAATCAAATTACAAAGGAATGTTTAAAACACTATTTCAAGACATTTATTGAACTCTCCAACCTTTCTCTTTCTCTCTCATGCATATCGGTTGCTCGAAGGCAACTGATCGGATTAAATGGGAAATTTTACTATTTAATATGTTCATAATGACCTAGCGTTGTGACGCTCATAAATATTCAACTACCCGAGAGCTGGCGCCGCAATGTCACTTTTTTGGTGTCATGGCTGAGTTCAATGTCGCGATGCTCGAACATGTGACATTGGGGCGCTCCAAAAGTGACCTCCAATTTTATCAAAAATCGGACGCAACACTTGGGACACATTCTACAGCATACCCAATCAATTTCATGCAATAAAACACTCTCAAAGACATGCAAATAATTGAAAAACTCAAAAATTTGAAACCTTACCTTTTTTCAATTGGGTCGAAACTAGCAGAACTGAATGCTAAACCTGTAGGTGTCACAATATGATCCCTAGTTAAACCAATATCATTATTAAAGCAATGAATTGACATTGTTATCCATGTGACAAGTCATGAGAATGGTAAATCTTCTATTATTTTTTATTTAAAAAAATGATATGTTTGCTAATTCTCTTTTTTTTTTTCAAGCTGATTTTCAAATATATAAGTGAATCGATGAACAAAATTTACTCCCAAATATTTCAAGAATGTAATTCAAGCAAAATCATCCTAATTCAAGATAACTCAGTTGAATACTGACCCAAATAATGAACTCACCAAACTCCATCGTGAACTGGCTAGGATCATAATGAACTCTTCAAGATTATGATGACTCCTAAACCCTAATTAATCAAGATGTATATTTATGTATTTTGGTTAGAACCAAATGAATTTTAATAGAAAGCAACTCTTAAGGCTTTGCTATGTACTTTCTTATTTTTACAAGCTTCTCCTATAGAGCTAAACCCAGGCCAAAACGTTTAAATATGGGGGATTGGCTTGATACATAAAATCATTTGTACTCAAGTCATGTACTTTTTGGCTATCTAGTAAAGCTATCTTTCACTCTCTACATTTTTGCTATGTGCCAAAATTCTAGTGTTATCCAATATTGAGAAATGTTATATTGAATAATTGGTAGGTAGTTCCATACAATCCAGATAACTAAAGCAGTTAACTGTTACGAACGTTGAGATATGCTTGATGAAGGATTACTACTATCCAAGTAGATAGCAGAAGCACTAGTAATATGAGGAATCTTCTCGTATTGCTTTGTATTGTATCTGCCATGCCATTTTAACAAAGTTTCAATGAAATAAGCTTTAGAGTCTAGAAAGATGCCATCTTAAGATTTAACATTCTCATGCATAAAATTACAATCTTCATAAGCTCTTGAGATATCGACAATAAGAGGATTGCATAGAGAGGCTAAACAATTTCTATTAGGAATTTGCTAAGGATTTTGTGGGTGGAGGGGTGTTGGCATATATAGGGGTGAAGAACCACCAAGTTCACCACCAAAGATAAATTGGCATTCTAATAGAGACCGAGCATCTCATGAGCTAGACTAGGAAGTAGATTTGGAATATGCATATCAACACCAAAGTTTAAATCAACTTGATGTTGTTGTACTGAAGATTGGAATCCTGATAGAAGAGATATAATTGACAAAAAAGAAGAAAAAATGCACCAAAGCAATAGTATTTTGTTGTAAGAAGATCTGATTGTGCTAAAAAGGGGTGATGATGTAAGGGGAAGAACTACCTCACCTTTGAATATAAGTAGACATACAAATGAGCTAATACAGTAGGGATTGAACACCTGATCATGAGCTAGACTAAGAAGTAGATTCATAATCTCCATATCAATGCTAACTCTTAGATCACCTTGATTTTGTTGCAGAAAAGATTAGATTCATGAGAGAGGCGATTGTCCCAAAGAAAAGAAGGAGCATATATCAAAACAATATTATTTGTTTGAACATCTTAAAGGGAGAAGATTTAGTTGTGCTAAAGATGGGGTTTTTTATATCATTGGCATTATCATCAAGTTGACTTTTTATTCATTTATATGAGAAAATCTCATATCTAAATGTATGGCAGTGCATATATAATCTAGGGGTTTTTTCAAGCGCCGTCCATTGCTTATAATCACAATTCTTAAACCCAAAAAAAAAAGTATTTGAAAGTACAAGGGCATTCATTTATGTGATACATATTGCCTTTCCTTTTACTCATAAAATTCTGTTTTAACTAATTCTATATGTATGAGATACTATATAATCGTATAAGACGGCGGTACAAGTCAACTGATTATTTATTGATCACTAAGATGATTAGGAATCTACACAAAAAAAAGATAAATATTTAATGAACTATCTATAAAATAATAAGTACTAACTTTCGTGTGAGTAGCACATGAAGGCAAAATGAGCTAGCTATATACTGAAAGAATGCAGAGAACTTATTATATTTTCTCCAATTAAATATGCTACTTCACTAAATTCTCTTTGCACTATGAATTAATAGCATAACTTTACTCATTCATAAACAAACATCTCATTATAGATCTAAAACACAAATGAAGGTATTTTTCATAAAAATAGTGCTTTGCCCTTAAAATTATAATATAAGCCATTATTATATATAAGAAAAATCATTTGTTTTAAATTTCTTATACTTTTAATTTTTTAAAAAAAAATTACTTCTTATATCTTGATTTGATATTAAATTTTTGATATTAAATTTTTTAATGAAAAAATAATAATAATTTTTCTTTTTTCATTATATAATGAAGAATATACCATTAGGTATTCTTTGCCAGTGGAATTAAAACTAGTGCATGTGAAGAAATCATTCAGTATTTGTGAAGCTCTTGGTGGTTGGTCCAATTTGAATTCCATAGGGAACAGCGACAGGAACAGGAATGGCGACACAAAGGTTTAATTATGACATTTGGAATTATAAATAATGAGGATAGTTGACAGAAGAAGAGCATAGGATGCTACTATAACCAATTAAAACAAAGTTTATTTCTGGTGCTTGTCAAAGCATGGCTTTTCAATTTCTCCAAATGTTCAAT